GTGAAGGCATGCCATTCGCGAACATCCAGAAAGGAGCGGAAGGAACAGCAACACCAGATGCAGCCGACAGGAAAGATGCCACTCCAAAGCAAGCATCTTGATAACACCGGCCCGCTCACACCAGACAGCCCGTCGCAATCGGTTTCAGCACTGTCTCATCCTCTGTTGGGTGTGTGCGAGGTTCATGCAAGCTTAATCCATGCAGTGCAACACTGGCTGTTTGCACGAGCTGTCACACCCAGAAGACACTTCGTGCGCCAATTCTCTCCAAGCCCTCATGTTCCATGCAGCTCGAGGGAACCTGCGTTTGTGTAAATTGCCTAAAACTCGAAACCGCAGCCCTCAGCCCGAAAGCGACTCGTGGACGTGATCTGGAGTCCTGGATCGCGAAGAGCTCGTTGGCGACACGAACGGTCAGGCCGGACCTCAGTGCAGCGTCTTGATGTTACAGCTGCGCAATGCTACCACGTCATAGATCTGTATCTTTACCATTCAAGTATATCCGTCTATCTATCTCTGCACCTGTCTATCTGTCTACCTATTTGTCTATCTATCCATCTGCTCTTGCCTAACTATCTGACTGCCTGATTGTCCGGCTGGCTAGCTGACTGACTGACTATTGATCTTCCTATCTATCTATCCAACTACCTATCTATCTCTATCTATCTGCCTATCAATCATTTACCCATCTCCCCATCTATCTATCTATCTGTCTGTCTATACTATAGAACTATCTACTGACCTCTCCTTCTCCACCTATTTGCTATCTATCTGTTTCATCTATCATCTACCTATCTATCAATCGATCTACCTATACTATAGACCCATCTACTTACCTCTCTCTCTCTCTCCACCTATCTGTCTAGCTTTCTATCTATCAATACGCCTTCTACCTTTCTACAAGCATACATTCGTACACCGGAGTCTGTGTATCGACTGTATGGATACCTGGATATCTGTACCCCTGACTTAACAAGATGGTTGAAATCTGTCAATGCTTGGGAGTGGTTGAATCATCCACACCACGACCTGAATGCCGAAACCGTCAATCGAATCCTGTGCCCTACACGCACCACATGCCAGGGGTGCCGTACTATCTTTGGGACCTTAGAAGGATCTTAATTTAGAAAACTACCCACAGACAACTAATGCAACCTGGACAACAATTCCGAGGCTGTTCAGAAGCCACGAAGCCCGCTGAACCTCAATACCCACGACCTTCACCAAATCACCGCACCCATGAAACAAATCACACCTGAACACCACAACATTGCAGAACAAGAGCAAGACGAGCATTATCAACAACAGCAAAACACCCGCATCTGATCAACAACCACCCCCCGCCCCCTCCACTCCCCCAAAAAAACAAAACACACACAGCACCAACACTTCAGGTTTGGTCTCAGGGAAGAGTTTTGCCTTGGAAACCCTCAGGGCACTGCCAATCCCGCTCCCTGGGCATTCCAGGGCCCGGCTTCTCAAAGGGCGGGCCTCACAAATTGACGTTTCAGGAATTATGGGGTGTAAGGTTTCGTTGGTGAAGGGTTTTTAGGGTGTAGGATGTAGGCATCTGCGATTGAAGGATTTAGAGTCTAGGATTGAGGGTTCGCAATGCGCAAGACACGGGTCGCTTCGAAATTGCCGGATGCCCGGTACTTGACTACTAAGGAAGGTTCTACGCCTCGTTTCCTACCAGTTCGGCCTAAGGGTAAATGAACAGATTTTTGCTGAAACCTCTTAAACAGATGCGGTTGCTCTTGTGAGTACTGAAGAACAGGCAAGACAGCAAAAAGCAAAGAACCTGCCAATCCTGGATGCTTCAAGGGTGCTGTAACGTAGGAACTTGATTAAGAAACCCTGGTCTTATAACCCCAACATTTTATGATTCATATAAGAATATAAATATAATGAGTTCTAATAAAAGACCCAGGTTTTTGTTCATCAGATTCCTACATGAGTCGCGAAGCCAGGGAACTGGTACAGCGACCAAGCTCGGGTCAAATCGTCGACAGCGGTTTCATGTAGGGGCCTAAATAAATACCAATACTATCTTGGGCGTTTGACAAGACGGCCCCGTATTTATGAGTTGAGTTGGGGCTGGTTGCTAAATGTTAAAGGTAGGAACCTGATTGAGATAATCTGCGTCTTTATGGGGTTCTTTGTTATAAATCCTAATATCTGGGGGTTAATCAGGATCCTGCATTAGCGCGTGAACTGCTCAGCAAAGAAGCGGAATAGCTTTGGATGATGATGAGGAGGTTCATGGTTTCCCCACCGTTCGTGAATCCGTGGGAAGCGCTGCTCCACATCCAGCCAGGTCGACACAATTCTTTAGACTTAGAACAGGGTTTAGCGACATTATGTACTTTGTGTTATATACAATAAGGAGCCATAAGGGATAGTGTTGGTATTGGCGCAGTTGTGCAAACTGGCAGCTTTGGAAGCAAGCTTGAAAGCCCCTGCGCTCAACAAACTTTCTAACCACCCCAAAAGGGGTCCAAGATTTCCCAAACTGCGGCAACCTACGTCTTCGCACTTCAGCCCAACAATGCCTCACAAGAAGAATGGAAACACATCCCTTCGACGCGGATTCCTAAACCATCCTAAACCCAGCCCCGTTGCAACATTTCTATGAACCCTCACTCGTCACTAAAAGACCTGAAAGGCCGCATCCTGAATGCCGTAAAGCTGAACACCAAGTTCCACAGCCTAAACTCAGCCCCGGAGCCCTTACCCTCACCCCGCAAGCAAGGGTTCAGGGCTGTAGGCTGCTTTAAGCATTTCAAACAACTAGGGTCCCCTATTACATCATGATTATGCGAAAGATCCGATCATCTTAGGGCTATGTATATATATATATATATATGTCTAAATAAATAAATAAATAAATATATATATATATCTGTCTTTCAACGAATAAACGATATCTATCTATCTATCTATCTACCTATCTATCTATATATCTATCTATCTATCTATCTATCTACCTATCTATCTATCTATCTATCTATCTATCTATCTATGTCTCTATCTACCTATTTATCTATCTATCTATCAATCAATC